TTAAGCAACGAGAAGAATCGGTGGCTCCTATCTGAGGATCTCGAAATGAATCATCCTAAGGCGGCTATCCGCCCTGTCAGCATCTGCACGGCCTTTACATTATCCACTACCGATATCCTCGATAGCTTTGATTTTATCGGGGTTGATCTTGATTCCCCGGTTGGACATCATAAAACCAAGAAACTTGCCCGAGCCAACCCCGAATGCACACTTTTCAGGGTTTAGCTTCATATTGTACTTCCTCAGCATGTCGAAAGTCTCCTGCAAATGCTTTAAATGGTCTTCTGCTCACAGGGACTTAATTAAAATGTCATTAATATAAACTCCCATTGATTTTCCTATTTGTTCTTCGAACATTTGGTTTACTAGGCGTTGATAAGTTGCACCAGTATTTTTTAGACCGAATGGCATTACATTATAACAGTAGGTGTCGTACTTAGTGATAAACGAGGTCTTTTACTGATCTTCCGAGTTCATCTGTATCTGGTTGTACCCGGAGTAGGCATCGAGAAAACTGAGAGTCTCGTGGCCGGCCGTTGCATCGATCATACGATCGATATTAGGCAAAGGAAAAGAATCCTTGGGGCATGCTTTATTCAGGTCTTTATAATCTATACACATTCTAAGTTTGTTTCCCTTCTTAGGGACTACCACTACGTTTGCTAACCATTCGGGATACTTTACTTCCTTAATGGATCCTATTTTGAGAAGTTTGGTTACCTCGTCCTTGATGAAGGCATGTTTGACCTCGGACTAGGCCTTCTTTTTAGCTTCACCGGGCGGAATTTAGGGTCCAGTCTTAGTTTGTGAGTGGTAATTTCTGGTGGGATCCCTGTCATATCGGGGTGGGACCAAGCAAAGCAATCCGTGTTAGCTTTAAGGAAATGAATAAGTTTTTTCCTGAGCTCGGAGGTTGGCCCCATGCCCAGGTATACCTTTCGTTCGGGCTGATGCTTGGCCAGTATGACTTGTTCTAGCTCTTCGATCGTTGACTTGGTGGCATCAGAGTCATCGGGAATTATGAAGGATCAAGGGATCCAGTAGTCGTCATCCTCGTCGATCCCTTGCTCCTGCAATTTGGTCGAGGCCAGTATCGATGGTTGCTATTTGGCCTCCTGCTTTCCCTTCGATCCCTTCATTGATGAGAGTGCCGATACCGATATCACTTCATCGACTGAAAATATTTCCTTGGCGGCGGGTTGCTCCCCGTACACTGTTTTGACTCCCTCCGATGTCGGGAATTTCAGAACTTGGTGAGGTTGAGGGTACTGCCCTCATGTTATGGATCCAAGGCCTTCCGAGCAGGGCGTTGTACCTCATGTCACCATCGATCACATGGAACTTTGTTTCTTGGATGGTCCTGGCCACGTTCGCTGGCAAAGTAATTTCACCTTTAGTGGTTTCACTTGCCATGTTGAAGCCGTTAAGTACTCGGGCTATGAGCACAATTTGATCTTGTAGGCCAAGCTGTTCTACGACCCTCGATCTAATAATGTTGGCCGAGCTACCTGGATCAATCAAAACACGTTTAACTTGAATTTTATTCATAAGGACAGATATTACCAGTGCGTCATTGTGGGGTTTTAAGATCCCCTCTACATCCTCATCATTGAAAGACAAGGTCCCTTCCGGTACGTAGTCTCGAGTCCGCTTTTCCCTCATGATCAACACCTTGGTGCGTTTGAATACGAGCCCCTGAGGAATATCGACACCTCTAACAATCATGTGGATCACGTGCTGCGACTCTTCTTGCTCATTCTGTCTGTTTGAATCTCTGTTCTTGAAATAGTTTTTAGCCCGATCGCTTAAGAATTCTCGAAGATGCCCTTCGTTGAACAAACATGCTACCTCATCCCTCAGCTGTCTGCAATCTTCTGTTCTATGACCATGGGTGCCATGATATTTGCACATTTGATTAGGATTTCTCTAGGCAGGATCAGTCTGTAGAGGTCAGGGCCACCTGGTGTCTTTAATGTGCCCAATGGCCGATACAATAACTGATGCATCAATGTTTAAGTTGTATTTTGATAGTCGTAGTGCTTCTTACCCGGCATTTCTGTCGAAACCACTCTTACTCATGAGTCCTCGAGAGCTCTGTCCTCGATCATTTCTTTTATCAATTCGAACGGGGTTGCGTCCAGGCCCGTTATTTCTCCGATCTCCACCGTATGGCTGATATCGATCTCTGTTTGACCGTGGTTCTCGGTCAATATTCCTTTTAACTCTGTCCATAGTCCTGTTTGGATAAACGGACCCGTAAGGAGTCCCCAACTGGTCATCCTCGACCCTAATCGTTGACTGGTACCGATTATACATATCGGCCCAGGTTACAGCTGGATATTCGATAAAGTTCTGCTTCAACTGTTGTGAGGCTACCGAACTTCGTATGTTTAGGCCTTCAGTGAAAGCCTGAATGGCCCAATCGTCAGCGACCGAGGGCAGATCCATACGCTCCATTTGGAACCGAGATACAAACTCTCTGAGCATCTCGTTGTCTTTCTGTTTTACTTTGAAGAGGTCCGACTTTCTAGTCTCAACCTTTATCGCTCCGGCATGCGCTATGATGAAGGAATCCGCGAGCATGGCAAAAGAATCAATGGAGTTAGGTGGTAAATTATGGTACCATATCATCGCCCCCTTTGATAAAGTTTCTCCGAATTTCTTTAGCAGTACGGACTCAATCTCATCGTCCTCTAGATCATTTCCCTTTATTGCGCATGTGTAATAAGTGACATGCTCATTGGGGTCGGTAGTTCCATTATACTTGGGAATTTCTGGCATGCAGAATTTCTTCGGAATGGGCTTAGGAGTCGCGCTCGGGGGGAAGGGCTTTTGTACGAACTTCTTTGAATCCAAACCCTTCAAAATCGGTGGTGCTCCTAGAATTTGATCAACTCGGGAGTTATAGGTTTCTATTTTTTTTGTCATTCGCTTCAATCTTCTTCTCCCCCAATTCAATTCGCTTTGTCAGCTCCTCGAACATTTTCAAGATAGCGAGGTCGGTCCCTGACTCATTCACATTTGACCTCCCCGACACTGGTTCGGCCCTGTGCATAATTTTTTGTGATAGCTCGGGTTCGACCCTACTCGGTGCGTGGTTCTGATTTTGAAGTTGTGCTATTACAGCTTGTTGAGCCTGCAACATTTTGAATATTATTCGAAGGCTGATTCCTCCTTCTTCGTCGCCCTGTGCATTCTGACCGGCTGATCGAACGTCTCTGCGGACGCTATTTTCGGGGTCGATGCCCAGATTTGCATTCAGGGCAACATGGGAACTGACGTCGATGGGGTCTGCAACTGGTAGTCCCTCGAGGTCAACTGGAAGCACTTCGTTTCCTGGGGCGGCTATGTTGTCGTTTTCGCCATGAATACCAAGGTCGTTGTCGATGTGTGTGGGTACTGCTTGAGAGTTCGACATGCTGATCTTGGAATCAAAAACGCTTACAAGAATAAGTGTAAAGCAGTGTGTGTTATGAAAATTAGCACCAGACAATCACTATTATCCTTAGCCCCACGGTGGGCGCCAAACTGTTTACCCTAAAAACGGATAACAATTGAATTTATATGTGGTTTTAAGGACACGTGATTTTACTTGGCACAAACTGAGAAAATATGCAAATTGATATTGAAATTGACTGTAAAGAAAAATAAAAGCAAATCAAATGAGATGTACAGCTTTGGCCCTCGAGTTAAGTTACCCTCGAACCAAATGAAATAGCAAATGAGATATGAGCAGAGTAACAGAGTATTGAGAGCCTAAAGAAAAGAATAGTATATTGCTTTGTATTGCGTGAATATCCTCCCTTTACAAATTATTAGACCCCCTTTATATAGTAGGAGAGTTTTACTTATGGTACAATTCTAAATACAGTAAGAAATCCATGATTGGCTAACTAATCTCTCCTTGATTTGTATCGTGATTTCCGCCGAGATTCTCCCCCTAATTGCGGCTATAACGACTTTTTTGTTTCTTGGCTTGATCTTGATCCTGGCCAATCTCGATCTTAGCCGATCTCGAACTCGATCGGTCTCTGAGTCTTCGAGCTCGATCTTGGCCGACCTCGATCTTGATCGGTCTCTGGGTCTCGAGCTCGACATCATATACTTCGCACCATGGCTCGATATTACAATGATGAACCTCGAACCATCATGTTCCAATCTCGATTAATCATACGAAGGGCAAAACTCGATTATGACCGTATACACATTTCTCATTTAAACTGTTTTAACAAGTAATTTTCATATTTTTTATATTTGTTATCTTACTTATTGTGAACGATCAAATTTTAGTATTGGTGATCTTTCCGACAATCAATTAGTGAGAAGTTACGTACACTATCATTCTATAAAAGTTAAATTCTTTCTTTCTTACATATTAGAAAAGTAAGGAGGCCCAATTGAATTTTACGTGGTCAAAAGTCATAAAAACTCAAATTCTCAACATTACCGATTTAGTTATGACGGTGATTTACAATCTTAACATTACCGATTAAATTATGACGGTGATTTACAAACTGAATGCCCCGAGAGCGCCGTGCCCGCTGGAATTTTCAGTGAAATTAAAGCTTCTACGTACCTGCTGCTTTACTTGTAAAAAATGCAAATCCCAGTGCAAGCCACCCATACAAACTGCGTACCTTTCCATATATTAAATATTGGGACGGGCTTTGTTATGTCACACAAATATTGGTAGCGTAGAAGATAAAACACTAGGATTCTAGGAATAGTACGCGATCATCAATATACATGCACAGGCAGATGTAAATACATCATCATATTTATTTGAACTCAGTACTTTTGACACATATAAATTTGTGCGTATAATTTCACTAAAATTATAACATCTAAACTCATATTTTTTTGTAAAAAAAATACAATAATCTAAAACCCTTAAAAGTTGAGTCGATAGAATTTAAACTGTGAATCCGCTTTTACGTGCACTGGCCCATCAGATCCCCACATGCCACACTCATTGCCTTCATATATCCCCATTTCTCCACCAACTTATTGTATTTCTACATTTTGATACACTGAAGTTTAAGTGCCTTCTCAAAATGGGGGCTCCTCCAAATTCTCAATTCATTTTGTGTAGCTTCAATTTGCTTCTCCTCCTTTCACTCAATGTCCAAATTGTTCAAGCTATGTCAACAATCACAGCAATGGCCAAAGACCAAATAGCTTGCAATATGTGCGCCGAATGTGAAAACCCATGTCAGCCTATTTTGTCTCCACCACCACCGTCACCTCCACTTCCATGCCCTCCTCCACCGTCACC